AACGGAAAGAGTTTATCCAGGGAGAAAAAAATACTTTGTTTCATTTCAAAATTGCTATATATACGAAACTAAATGTAAGCATCACTATCATTCATGGATGAAAATGGAAGAAGAACTCGATGGTAAGTTTTTAGCAAAATGTCAAACTAATAACGACCAGGGCGTCAAACAAAGTATAACGACCAAACCATTCTGTCAAATTGACACTGTTTTATATAATTTTTGCCAAAATAATATGCTTAGAATGATAAGAACTAACGAATATAACACATTCAAACACCCAAGTCAAACCATTCGTTCACTTTTTACGGTAACATCGATATGACCGTTACTTGACCAATTTTGTCAACCCAGTCAATATAACACCTAGGATGTAGATGATCTTTGTAGAGATATACTGCACCATTCTTTCCATTTAACTTCTATTTCAACTTACAGATAATAAAGGGGGAAAGTTAATATACATTTAAAAAGGGTGAAGTAATTTTCAGTGCTTTTTCACAGGGTGTTAGTTGACAATTATATGCATAGTCAATATAACCAGGGTCATTAAGAGAGTTAGTTGACACCTTAATGTTAGGGTCAATGTAACTCCTACTCCCTCAGTAGTCCTAAAGCTACTATTACTACTGAAATATGTTGACTTTGGCTTTTAGCCTACAAATCTCTTGTACAATAAAAAAATTAAGCCTTTTAATGAAATTGTAAGCATATTTCCTGCTTCTTTGAAATAGAGCATAAGTTGACAACTAAAGGATTCAAGTCAATATAACCATGGTCCAAAAGAGAGTTAGTTGACACATTAATTTTATAGATGTAAATACAGCCTTTTATCAAAAGAACATCAACAATAAACAAGAAAACAGAAAATTGTCACAAGACTATAACATGCAAGTTTCTGTCTTGAGACGGTGCAACAAGTTTGTTTTTAAGCACTCAACCTCCCCATACCCTTGAATTTGACAATAAAAACATGAATGTAGACACAATGCAAATCAATGTGAAGTGGTACTTATTTCCAATGCTGTTTTCAACATGGATAACATACAACATCATAAACATAAGAAAGTGTGGTATTATTGCCAAAGAAACAACTCTCCACCTAAGACTTAAAGAAGTAAAAAAAACAATAATAGCCTATAAGGTCACGTTATGGCCTTCAACATGGAGCCTTGACTCACATTTTCATTCATTTCAATTTAAAATCATGTATAAAACTAATTTAACTTTATTTATTTGCTTTTCAGATCTTTGAGATAAATCAACTGAGTACAATGGAGTATGAACAGTGGAATAGACAGCAGAATGAACTTAAAAATGTTTTTAATTTGTTTAAATAAATGATTTATGGTTTGATTCTTGAATAGTGGTTTAATTATTAGTATTGTCATACATTAATCATGTTAATGTGTTTTATACTTTACTTTCAAAAGTGTTGATTTAATAAGCTCTTAAAAAAAAATTGTTGAAAACAGTTGATCAATAAAGTCACCATCTGACAAAGCCAAGAGTATCATAACTGTACATATTAAATGAACAACCTTTGACCAAAGTACAAAGTCAGTTCAAGTGAGCCTAATTAACAATACTCCTAAATACCAACAGTAAACAATATGTTCCCCTAAATACTGTGAGTAACTCATTAAGTGTCTGTTTACCATCAGGCTAAGCTAACTCTTGCAGTGCACCGGATAGTTTTATTGGGTTAAAAGTATGTCGGTTAAAAGCTCATTAGAGCTTATGTTGTCTCTGTTTGTATACCTTGCCGACTCTAAAATAAAGCTTATTTATTGGGTTTGAGTTGTTATTTAAGGTTTGTTCTTTTCTTGTTATTTATCTTGATTTCTCCTCTCCCTTTTGGATTTGTGAATTAGTGCACCTTTATTTTTCTTGCATTCTATAGTTGTCACTTTGATCTGATAGATCTCAGATAGTTTTGGTTATGAGCTTGTGACTTCATTATTAGCTGAACAATAATGAACATGAACCCCTGCATGCATTCAAGAATTAAGTTTATATCATAATAAACATAATGGATCAAACTCTTTGTGTTCAGATGTTACACCAGATTTCCTGTTTTATTTCAGTAAGTTACTTGACATTGTGTCAATATAACAACCAAAAGACGGTAGTGTTGTGAGCAATATAAGCATTCAATCATAATTTGATAAAATGAAAAATAACCATCAGTTACCTAGACAATAGTAGAAAAAAAAATGATTTTGAAAATGGTTAAATTTAAACACTATTCGTCAATATAACCTACATGTAAGATATGGTATACAAGATTTATAGTCATCTTCTTCATTTAGAAGATTAAGCTGTATTGGATAAGTTTTCCCCTACTTAAAAAATCAACTAGTGTTGCCCCCCTGTTTTTTGAGTGGCCTGTTTTAAAATTAAGGCAGAAAAACTATCAAAAAGGGTTATTGTCAAAATAACATACATTGAATTTAGATTTAATTATGTCAACGAAGATCTGGGTTTACAACAACTACATAAAATATTTCATTTGAAATATAATAATTATGTTTACAAATATAATTGCTGTTCAAAAAACGTTTTAGACAAGTTACTAGAAGAAAACTTTATTTTGGACATCTATAACATACTGATCTTGCTCAGAGCTCTGACATTTCAGAACATCAGGGATATCTCTGTGAATTGGTCTATGATATAATGATGTTGAAAGATATTATGTGCAGCTAAGTATTGATACATTTCATTAATCCCATAAGAAACTATTTAAAACAAAAGACTGCACTATTGTCAATATAACTTACACAAAATATACAAGGAAGGTCAATTTTACAAAAACATAGCAAGACCATGGATTTCAAATAAAAAGAGGTAGTAAGATACAGATGGTTGCTAACAAAATAATGTGAATTGATAGAGATATCCAAAACTTCAATTTTATATCCTAATGTCACACTTTCCAGACCACCTTTATGGCTTTACCCATATATATATGTCTGTCTAGCAGGTTTCATCTGACCTTGACCTCAATAACAATGAAAATTGTAAAACATTCATATTGCACACTAAATTCAGTATAAATACAATCATGATAAGAAAAGCATTTCAGCGTGTGGTTAATGTTTTCATGGTTTTGTCGGTTTATCAAATACTATAAGCAGGGGGTCAACTATATTTGGTGCATGGAATGATTGTAAGGTGTACATATCTGTCTGGCAGGGTTGACCTCCTTTTCATGGTTCATCAATGTAAAGTTTGCATGGTTATGTTTGTTTTTTTGATCAGATACTGTAAGCAATAGGTCAACTATATTTGGTGTATGGTATGAACGTAAGGTGTATGTGTCTGTCTGGCAGGGTTCATCTGACCTTGACCTCAGTTACAATGAAAATTGTAAAACATTCATATTGCACACTCAATTCAACATAAATACAATCATGATAAGTAAAGCAGGTGAGACATTTCAAGGTGTGCACTGTTGTTATACGATTGAAGTGGAATATATTTAAACTCAGAGAATGCTAAAACTACAGCACACATTATTCTGCTTGCTTGTAATTTGATCAACTGATAATTATCCATAATTAACTTGTTTGGCACATGTCAAAATAATACCATACATGATAAATTATTATTAATGACCAGCCAGTACACACTGATAGGATTTCATAAACCAGTATGAAAATGATTAATACAACAGATTATTTTTAATGAAAGAGACTTTTCATGGATTGTGGGACACATAGTTAAAATTTATTACTTGAAAATACATTGAATGTTTTGACTATTGTATGCTCCAACAGATCATCAAAAAGTTGTTTAAAAAAAAATGCTATTACTTGCAAATTAAATAACAACTTGTTTTTGTCTGTCATTGTGTATCGAAGTATAAACTAGGCTGTTGATTTTCTCTTTTGAATTGTTTCTCATAGTGTAATCTCTTTTAAAGCTTACTAAGACATGTATAACATTTATAGGTTTTGCTCACTTTTGAAGGTTTCACAGTGTCCTGTATTAATGTTCCAATCTGTCATTTGGTATTTATGAAAAGTTGTTTCATTGTCATCTGCTTATTGTTATATAAATAATATTGCTTTCACAAGTGGAAGCTGTTGTTTAAAAAAATACAAAGGTTAATATATGCTTCTTTTATCATACCACAAATGCAGCTGCATTGAAATCAATTTTTCTTTAAATAACATTTCCCATTATTTGATAATTACATGTCCATAAGACTAAGGGTGTCCTACTTGAGGTCATATTTTTTAATTCATGCACAAAAACATCATTGCCCTAGAGGAGAAGACCAGACTGAAAACATGTATCATTAAAATAACCAGAATAGGATTTTTGTCAAGTTTCATTATGGTTGTTTTCAAGGATTTGAAAGTTGAATCTACATTCAGATTTATCTTGGAGGGAGTAAAATAATATTTGTTTAGAACAATGGTAAAAAATGTAGTACATGTATTAAAAAAATGATTTTAGTTCTTTTCTTAAATGTAAGTTCTATTAAGATATTCAATTTTTAAAGCTTGCTTGATTGCCAAATTCATACAATTTGTAAGAATCATATATATAGGTAAAAATACAGGATACAAGACAAAAGCTTTCAGAAATGAAAACAATGACAAAAGGGGTCACCATACTTGTTATCTTGCTACATAACCAAATAGATAAATTAACACTGCAATCTATACAGGACTAATTAATCACAAAATAAAAAACAGGGATATGATACATGTAAAACCATCAAGTTTAAAGCTGAAATACCACAGCTTAAAACACATAAAACAATAAAAGTGAATGACTGAAAACAGGGTTCAAATACTTTACCTATTAACATATCTTTGTTAAGAAATATTGTGAACAAAGAACAAAACCATCTAAATAAATTGAGTCTTATCATGCAACCAGACTAGGACTCACAAAACTTTGTTATCAAGATTTTGATTATGAATTTACCTTGAAGACTTGCTGTTATGGTCTCGCATTAATAACATCCTCCATGTTTTGTTTAGAATTGTGGGAGATGATGATGGAGGTGTTATGTTTACACCTGATCAGTATGAAGATTATAAGAAGAGAGTCCTTCCAATGGTAAGAATAGTTTAACTCTTTACTATAAAGATTTAGGGTTTTACATCACTAAAAACTGCAGACTATCTTTTTATTTTCCATGTGTTCTTTATTAGCTACAATGCATCTTTTTGGTTTAACTCAACCTTTTATTAACGATTTTATGTCAACCCAACTAATTATTATTATTTTAACTAGTAATTTAGCACACTTTTAGTTTATAATAACTTTGTAAATATGCAAGATTCTTGTTAGTAATTTACTGGAATATTCTTTAAAAATCCCTCAAAATGTTCATTTGAATTCAGAGGCAAAACATATTCAGTTAATAATTTTGTAATATTGCCTTTCATTCAAGCTTTTGGTTAAAATATAGATTTTATTGTAGGGTTAAAGAAAAGAGGGAGGTTAGACTGATACAAAAACCTATTAAATAAAAGGAAAAAAGAAATACAGGATTTATATTGAAGGAGCTGTTTAATCTCAAAAATCTGAAATACTGTAAATTCAGAAATTATTGCAAGGTTTTTATTTATGCAAATAATGCAACTAGGTGACTAAGGTGAGTATCGCAATAATAAGAACTTGCATTCTGATATCTTGAACATATAACTGTATGCAGATTTTCCTGAACTCGTAATAATTTATCTCGCATTTTTGTCCATTCTTCCAAAATCGCAATATTGATAAATGCATGCAAAAATTTCTGAATTTACAGTAAACAACAAAAATAAAAGATGATACATTTACTTAAGTTATAGAATGCCACAATCAGGAATAAATTTGTTTGAATTAATGTTAAATATTTTATCATATTTTATTCAGAGAATGCAGAACCGTGTGTTTGTATCCTTTACTAATTCCACAGGTATGGACTGTAAGATGATTGGACCAGAAACATTGTGCTTTTGTCAACATAGGTAAGAAATGTTTCAGTCAGTTTACCTTAAAAAAAAATTACAACAAACTGTTTTTAACCATATGCATTTGTATATTATTTCATCATGTTTTATTTTTTCATAACATTTTATGCAGTTGTATTGAACATTATCATTATACTTGACTTTTATACTAATGTATGCCATGTATATGTTGGCATTTTTGTTTTTTGGTAATTTTTGTTTATGTTTTTCTATGATGAGGGCCTCAGGGAAGATAAGTTATATAACTAACCATGTAACCCTCTTAAAATAAAGTATTGTTATTGATGTTAAGCAAAATAAGTATTTTAACTAGTTCAAATAGCTCATAAATTTGTAACTTTCTCACAGCTTCTTCTTTTTCTATGTATAGAAAGAGATGTTGAATAAAGTTTTCAAGAAACACTTTGTATATCAATACATTGACACTAGTTAACTACAATAGATATCTAGAGTAGCCATATGATCAACCTCTAAATTGCCCACATTATAGGAAAGTTGTAAATTTCATATATATCTGTTTCCCTAACAATTCTCCTGTATATCCTGGTTCAGAATCACGATTAGTTGAAACTTACATAATAGGCTAATTGTAGTTAGCTTAATAATAAAAAAGTAGACATTTTGTTATTTTTGTGTGTCATTACTTCGATGCTTCATTGATGTATGTACCTCTCACCTCTTTTTATTCACAATGTCGGGGCTCTTGTGTCTATTTGTCCTTGACCATTCAAATGGAGACCAGAGCTCTAAAATTGTTACCATTAAGTGAAGTTAAAGCTAACTATTTGATGTCGATTTGATTTTAAAGTAAACATTTATTATTTTGAAAAGACTCTTAAGGTGGTACATGACACTACAGGGAGATAACTCTGTAAAAATCCGCAGAACGCTTTAATCACATTCTATTGTTAAGGAAATATTAAGCTTCTCAATGATCAAAATTAATGTTTGTCAAACTGCTATATATCCAATGAAATTTTTCCGATAAAGTGTGTGGTTCAAGTTTTTTGAAATTTTTATATTTTTGTCAAAGGGTCAAAGTAAATATTTTGTCAAAATTTTATGAAAATTAAACGAGCCAAATTAATTTTAGTCAAGATGTTTGGTACCACCTTAAGCACTCTAGAATACAGTATAGGTGTAGGGTAGAGAGTCATGCATGGAGATTTTCATTTTTCATCTTCTCCCAAACATGTGCTCTCAGATAGATAATGTAAGTGTCATAGAGTGGAATAACTTTTAGTGTTTTGTCCATTAAATGATTCCTAGAAATGTACAGAGCCAAATACAACTATATAAACACTATTTGATTTCCATTCTATTTCAGATTTAGACAACATAAAACAGATTTCACTACTATTCCAACAGAGAGACCTATAATGTTACCATGTAAAGTAAAAGGATGTGGCTGTGTTAGTTACCACTATGTTCCACAGAATGGCACACAACCTATCAGATGTTCTTGTAAACATTTCACAGATGAACATTCAGTTAAAAAACCACACAAATGTAAATTAAGTGTATCAGGTATGTATTTTCTAAATTATCTGTCCAGTCATTTTGTTTGAATGTTCATTTATTGTTTTAACAACAAAAAACTTTGAATCTAATATAATTGATTTCTTAAGAAAGAAGAAAGTCAAACATCCTTATTTTAATATTTGCATTTAAAAGCGTGACTTGTGAAAGTAAAATTATCATACTCTTTTATGAACAGGAGGCTGTAAGTGTTCAGAGTTCAGGAGTTCCTACACATGTGGATGTGGTGAACCTTATCATTCCCATCACATGATAGCTGAGACTAAAGATGAAAGGTTAGCTAGAGGTCATCCTGTAGGTCAAGATGTTCCATACCAGGCCATGGGTGGTCTAACAGGATTCTCATCATTGATGGAGGGATATATGAGGTTGGATCCAAGTGGGATAGGTATTAACATATTTTATGTTACATGCTGTAGTTATTGTATGGAACACAATTGAGTAATTCAGCATTTCACATGTTTTTATTTTTGATGTATTTTTTAAATTTTTTTTGTCTTCTCTACTTTGAGAAATATTTTGCTAAAATGAAAAAAAAATCCATTGTGCAATATTTTCACATATACATTATTATTTGAATATGAACAAGAACGAAGAAAAAAAAGTGTGGAAAGCTGATTTGCCGAACTGACAGACAGACAGACAGACAGACAGACAGACGGACGGAGTGCAAACCTAAAGTCCCCTTCGACTTCGTCGGTAGGGGACTAATAAAAGAAGATATGGGTTATACATCAATGTGACAACAACTTTACAAAACAAAAAATTGAAAGACATCTTATATTATAATGTGAATGAATTTTATAAAAACTTCCTGAATAACTTACTGTTCTCTTTATGGAAAAATAACAAAGGAATTATACATATGTAAAATGTTGTTTGGTTCTTTTTATGTTGTAAGAAATATTATACACAGATATAAATCAGAACAATAAATTAATAACCATGTTTAAATAACTACCTATGAAGGTGTAATACCACCATTGATTTTTCCCTATTAGTCTTTGTTAAATTTGCACTTTTCAAAAAATTGTGCAGAATCTATCTTTGTTTCAAATAAAGAAATACTTGGCATGAGTAAAGTTTTATCCTGTCCATTACTAGAGACAAACCTTATCATAACATTTCATTGCATATAAGAAAATAACCATCACTGGAAGTTAACCAATCAAATTTTCACCCCTTTTTTTCCTGTGTACAAGCTTTAATAACCATGTAACCTCAAGTTTCCGAAATATTCTATAGAAACACCAAATAAAAAAATAATGGTGCTTTGAAACACCCAAGATATATGTTTATATTAAACTCAGAAATTTTTTACTGCAATAAATTGTAGGATTAATTTCCTACAACTGTCAAATTCAAGGGATAATTTTTTTTGGACCCTTTTTCGTATGCAACCGGATGTGACGTATTATGATTTGGTGGTTTTACACCTGAATATACTTTAATAAATTGGAGGTGAAATAGTTTTAGTGAATTTAGCTGTCAGAATATTTTTCAAAATAAACAAAAGATAATTTTGGAAAGTTAAGTCTATTTTAATACCTACAGGTAATATCCTATCATATTCATTTATTGGTATTTTTCCTATTTCATAATCAGCTTTACAAAAAAGCTGATAGTTACAAGATTATATTGTTTTAACAGGTGCACCATCAAAAGAGTTTTTAGAACAACCTATAACCTCACATGACCATCCTTTCCTAAGAGCTAATGTACAATCCATCAAGACACATAGAATGAATCAGAGAGCTATTAAAGGTATGTTAAAGCTAATTCACAGTCTGTCAAGGAAAGAGCTGTAAGTATTGTAGAGAACAAAATCCTAATTGCAGTTGAAAAAAACTTATAAAAATCAATTAAATCAATATGCTAGTAAATCCAAAATTTTTAACTCTCTATTTTCTCTGTTTTGCATATGTGCAGTATTATTTTTTCCATTTCTGTTTTTGCTGTTATTTTTTTTTGTTCTGTTATAGGGGGGGGGGGGGGGGGGCAAATTTAATTTTATGAATATATCCTTGACCAAAAATAATAATAATGGAAATATTAGTTATACAGACATCACACACATAGTGATAGATTTTTCTTCTGCAACAAAGAGGTTGTCCTCATATTAGGTATATTTGGTTGTTTAGTAGAACTAATACACAATCAGTCATAGGATGAGCCTGAGACCTAATAAAGGTAAATATTTGGTTGTATAGTAGAGCTAATATACAATCAGTCATAGGTTGAACCTGGGACCTAATAAAGGTAAATTTGGTTGTTTAGTAGAGCTAATATACAATCAGTCATAGGTTGACCGTTGAACCTGAGACCTAATAAAGATATATTTGGTTGTTTAGTAGAGCTAATATACAATCAGTCATAGGATGAACCTGACGCCTAATAAAGGTATATTTGGTTGTTTAGTAGAGCTAATAAACAATCAGTCATAGGATGAACCTGAGACCTAATAAAGATATATTTGGTTGTTTAGTAGAGCTAATATACAATCCGTCATAGGATGAACCTGAGACCTAATAAAGGTATATATGGTTGTTTAATAGAGCTGATGTAAGTCATATACTGTAGGATATATCAGAGTACTGTTAAATATTTAATATACAAAAACAAGGTATATTAGCATTAAAGTTTTTTGTTGTAGGATTTGCTGTCTTGCCTATAATCGTAAACACTAATTGGATATACATAGGAACATGAATACTATTTGTGTTTGTTTTCCCATACTTAATTTAATTAATTACTAAAATATATCAGGTGGCGCTGAACCAGAGATAGATGAAGATTTAGCAGAGAGAATGTCTGCCATGAGACGACCTGATGAATCAGACATGGATTATTTTGAGCGTCGTTATCAAGAGAGAGTAAGTTCTATTAACATGTCATATAAATAAATGAAAAAGAAAACTAAAACTTATTTTGTTTAATATTTTGCTTCTTTGTAATTTCTAATCCTATATCAGATATGCAATATCAACAGTTTCATAAAAAATCTAATACGATCATAAGAAATTGATTTAATTAGAAAATAATAATAAAACAGTTGTTCTTTTAATTTTTTTCTTTACTTGGTATTAAACAAAGATGTTTCAAATCTAAATTCTTATTTATGAATTGTGAACTATTTTTTAAAAAAAGAATAAAAGGAAATAGTAAGGTTTGTGAACAGAATGAATATACTCTACTCGTTAAAAATATGATATTGGTGTATAAGATAAAATCCGCTATGTATAAAATATTTAAAATATCTAAAAAAAATGTTTTGCAGCAAAAGGCTGAGAGGGAAAGATCTCGTGCCAGAGTTGTTGCAGCAAGATCAAAACCAGCCATTGGAAAAAGGACAACTCCAGCAACTAATCCTAAGTCAAAGTAAACTGAAGTTTCACTCAATTCATTTCATCTGTCTCAAATTCAATACTGTGATATTCTAAGACATATCTTAAATTGAAATATTTTGATGAAGGGATATTTTGGCAGTTTGATCACAAAGTAGTGATTAAATTTTAGTATTGCAAGTTTTGGCACTATGTGTTTGATTTTTTCACTTGTGGAAACAACCCTTATGAAAGCGATCCCTTAATTAGTTTCTGAAGACTTGTTAAGATGTAAAACATATATATAGATATATATTTTTTCCCCAGCAAACAATGTTTTTGGGGTTATATAGGAATCACCCTGTCCCTCTCTTCATCTGTCTATCTGTCCATGTGCCTTGAAAGCACATCTAAATGGTTGGGCAGATATTGATGAAACTTGACACAGTTGTAGAACACTACCCAAGGAAAGTTATATCATCCCAGTCCTACATCTTGCCAGGGGAGTTAATCAAATTTTCTTCCTTAAATATTGAATTAAGTGGTAATAGTCTCTCATAAGTCCAACTCCTCATGAATTGCTGGACAGATATTGATATTGAAATTTAGTGTATTTGCAGAACACTACTTGTGGATGTTCATAATAATCCTGTTCCAACTTGTACATGTGGAGATAATCGAGATAACTTACTTCAATATTCTAATTGTATTGTGGGCTGAAAAGGGGTATCCTTTTTTTGAGTTCACTCTCAGATCTTGTTTTTTTGACTTAAATATACTAGAAATCCTCAAAGTGAACACTTTTGATGTTGAATTTACAATTTAACTAAATATTGTAACCTATTATTTCTGAATTTGCACTTTAATCAGACCTAAATATTATCAAAGCCAAAATATCCATACTTGTGTTATTCAATTAAAGTGAGATTTGAATATTTACAGTGTTTTTTTTCTTCACATTTTTAACAGCTGTCTTTTCAATGTCAATGTCAGGATTTCTTATGGTCTTTTTACTATTCTATTCAATGGAATAGTTTTGTTTGAAAAGTAATGATACATTTATTTTAATATTTCTTTGATATTTTTAGAAAGTGATTTTACAGTAGAACAAATTTACTTGACTTGAAGATATTACAGGAAGGTGTTTATTTTTGTGTCCCTGTTATTGCAAATTATGTTTACTTTATGGATAATTAATTTATTTAGCATAAATGCTGGAATTTCATTTGTGGTTTCACTTTGACATTTTTCATACTAAAAAATGACTTAAAAGTCTCCACTTGACTCGATTAAAAGTTGTTTTCCATTACAATTGGGAAAGGACATAATTTTACATGCATGTTTTTTATTACTTTTATCTTTAATCTAATTTTTGATGCCACTTTTAATTGGATAAAATTGCAACTATTCTACAAAATCCAAAATAAATAATGCCAAAGTACTCTAAATGTGTTATTCATCTGCTTCCTTCAATATTATACACTTATTTTTGAAAAAAATAATAGTAATATATTTTGAATCCACATTAGATGCTTACATTTATTAACTGGATGTGCTAATATATCACATAGAAACTTAATTTGTAGTCATTAAGTCTGAAATAGTACCAAAATTTGGTTATGCAGTGCTATACTCATGATGAGATTTTTTTTTTATAAAAATTGCCCTTTCAGTATTTTTTGTTTATTGTTAATTTTGCATTAAAATATTTATGTTTTCAAATAAATGAAAATAACAGAAATGAAGTGTATTTATTCATGACACATTGATATGAAAACACATACAATGAATTAACAGCTCTTTTATTGCTGTTCTTCATCTTAAAATCACAAGGAGCACACCTCACTGCAAATTCAAGATGGCCCCTAACTTCTGATATGGATAACACAAAATCTGTGAAAAAAGTAAAATAACAAAAATACCAAACTCCAAGGAAAATTCAAAAAGGAAAGTTCCTTAACAAATTGCAGAATCAAAAGCTCAACACATCAAACGAATGGAAAACAACTGTCATATTCCTGATTTGATACAGGTGTTTCCTTATGTAGAAAATGGTGGATTGAACCTGGTTTTATAGCTAGCTAAACATCTCACTTGTATGACAGTCACATACAATGAATTTAAGCATACATATGTAAGGTTTTGTCAACAATTCAACAGACTATAACAAACACTTTCATTATTCACCTGACTATCTGATTGGGGAAAAAAACAAGAAACAATACATACATTTAGACAACCACAGGGCACAACAAACCTGACTCTCGCTGGAAAAAAAACCAAGAACCAAAATACATACATTTAGACAACCACAGGGCACAATAAAATAATTAATAGAAAACTTGGCAGGAAAATTTACACCCAAATACAGGGAAACACTATAACCTCCACACAACAAGAGACAAAACTTTGTCAATATAATTGAGAAGAAATATGATGAATCAATTCATTACACAAATTTCTTACAATAATTGAAAAATGCAAAACAAAGGAACCAGTGCTTTTATTGTTTTCCTTCATCTCAAAGTCACAATAAGAGCTTTAACATTAAGCAAGAGCCCATACCTCATTGTAATTTAAAGACAGTCACTAGCACTGTATTAAGAGCAATTCTTTGCCAAATGGTGATAAGCTACATTTGTGGATATAAAAACAGTTGCAGGGTAATATAAAGGAATTACAGAATATAATTGACAAAGAAATCTAATAAACACGGCTGATATTAACCTGACAATCTCATTGTAAAAATCAGATCCAAAACAAAACATTGATACAGCCATGGGGCACATCAAAATTTGTGTTGATTACTTTGCAGAAAATCATGTTAGGATTTGACAAGTTCTAAGGATAAACTGCTTAACACTTATGGTAAACATATAGGCCAATCGAAGAGTAGAAGGTGAGGCAGGACACTGAAGCCCATCTTTCTTATCCATTAAAGGAGAATTTAAGAGAAGACAATTTTCCACCAAAAAACTAGATTATCAGATGTGCGTATTCAAAAAGCAGTGTCCTTTCACAATAAAAATTTACTAAAAGTTTGACTCAATTACAGTTTTAAATCATCTGGACAAACGGATCAACTGATAACAAATTCTAACTTATGACTAGTGAACATTTTTCGAAGTTAAAATCTCCCAAAGCGATTAAGAAGATACACATCAAGGTAACAAACAAAAAATGAAGTTATCGCATCAACTCCAAAAGGAGTGAAAACGGGTATATCAACAGGGTAAGCGTCACTTTCTACGCAACATGTGTATCAACACTCAGTTAACATGTCACAATCGAGAGTAGGACATGATCGGTATATTCAAAGATCTAAGACCGCCAAAATACGCCGCTATTGTGATTGTGATTGAGATTGAGACACCGACGCATAGTATCGGCCAACCAATTCGTGTTATGAAGTGTTCATTTCAGTCGTTCTTCCTCATTACTTTATTGGAGCAGTATTTGTGTAAGGAGCATATCCCTGTTAATAAAGTCCGTATAACGTAAACATGAACGAGCGTAACGTTCTAATTGAGATATACAAATACCATATATATGAAGGGAAAGAGGTTATGTTACTGCTGAGAAATGGGAAGTTGGAAATTGGAAAATTGAAATCGACACGTTTGTCATAGATTTTAGTTTGAAACCGTCCATCTTTGTCAATATCGACGGGAAAACATTTAGATATGAAGCAGACCTTCCAGTTTCGATGATATCCTTTAACTGAGTGGGAAAATGTTTTTTCTTTCTGTCTTTGTAAAGGTTCTGTACGAATTATGCTTTATATGAGTACAAAAACAAGTCGACCAGTAGGTGCTCATAATAAGTACGACTTTCTATTGATATATCAATCTACCGTTTTAACAAATATGTTGTCGATAAAAAAAAATCCAGCATTTTGATGATCTCATCTTTGGTGTATTAGTTGTCTTTTAGAAAGTTCTGTATGCATTCTGCACAATATTACAAAAACAGTTCGGCTGGTCGCGGTGCACAATTAGTACCCATTGAAATACTGATTGTCTGGTGAAATATTAATCTGCTAAACTAAAAAGTGTGTTTTCGATTAGAAACAAAATCAACATTTTATTTGAAACAACGTTTAGAACTAATTACTTAAACAATTTTGAATGATAGAAGTTTTCATACGCAAGTCAAACCAATTTTTCAAATATTAAAGTAGGTGTTCAACATTTCCAATTCCACGACACAGAAATTCAATCACTTGGATTGGACGGTAATGTTATTTTTATTACACTGCTTTAGCTTCTTACTAACCCATATTCACTAACAATAATGTGAATTAGAAACAACATTAGTTTACCGATATTCAAAACTCACAAATCCTTCAAGAATAAACAAATCAAGGTAACAACAAAAACTTAGGGAATCGCATGAATTGCAAAAGGAGCGAAACCGTTTGCGTCGATATTGCATACGTCACCTACCATGCGTAGCCACACTCAGTAAAACTGTCACAATCAGGAATATCATACAATCTGTAAATTTGCAGATCAAAACTTTGTAAGATGTTTTTAGTATCTTTTTTAGAAAGGTTCTGACGATTTCAACAGGGTAAACGTCTCAAGCTATGCATTTATCACCTGCCATGCGAATCAACACTCAAGTCAAAATATCACAATCGGGAATAGGACAAAATCGGTAAATTTACAGTAAGAATCTCAGATCGCGAAAATATGCCGCTTACGAATAAAGACAGACACATCGTATCGGTCAACCAAGTGGTAATGGTAACCGTAAAACTCGTGTAGTGTCGATTTCAGTAGTTTTTCCTCATAACTCTGTTGGAGCAGTAATTGTGTAAGGATAATTAAGTCCGTATAATGTAAAGGTGCACGAGATTAACGTTTTAAATAGATATTTAAACGCCATACGATGGAACAGAAGGTTGTTACTGCTACAAAATCGGAATACGACATTTTGATGATATCAACCTAGGTGTGTTCGTTGTTGAAATCAATGGGGTTCTTTTAAAAAATGTTCATGACCTAAAGCAAGGAATTTGTATCTACGATTCCAATTTGTGTAGAAAAAAAGCATTGTTTAATAAAAAAAAAAAGGTGTAGACGATCTTTCAATTTAGCATGAGGCATAGCAGAGTAGAGGGTAGAAAACATTTATAGTTTTGATATTACTGCAAAATTATCATGATTGAGATTGAAGATTTTGGAATAGTTGTGAATTGTTGTGAATTCTTTTAGAATTTCTATCTGATGACACAACTGTTTGAATATATCTCAATACAATGTTGGAATGCCATCTTTTACAGTAGAAAGAATGGAGGTAAGAACTTTATGAGATTTTATGTCGAACATCTAGACGACCCAGCTATGTAGTGATTGTTAAAAGATTTGGTATCCAGTAAAATATACTAAACGTTGATGAATTTTTTGACTTGAATTTGACTGTAATTTGGTAAAACAATTTAGCAAATTAGTAGTGTGAAAGAACAAAGCCTTTCGAAAATGCACAATGATAATAGGAGACGAGGGGCTCAAGTCAATAAGACCGCAAATTATATATATAGCAGAATAAATACATTAACTTGATAATTATTTTACTTTCATTATTTGAGACGACCTATAATGCTCTTAATCATATGCATACCTTACCACAAACAGTACAACATTCCGTCTTTGTGTTTCCAAGGATACCAGAATATAATTTGGGTCATTATATAGCAACATGATAATAAAAATCAAAAATCTTTTGTTAAAAATCTAAGTTTACACAAATTGTAAAGGTTTATCCAGGACCAGACAAAACATGAAAAGGAGAAACCAAATATGGAATTCATTAAGGATTAAATATCCACAATTGTGTTACTGAAAGAAATAGTTATCGGAAGGACCTGACCAATCTCGAAAAAAAGAGAAACCGAGTTTAATTGTCAATATAGAATCAATTTCCAAAACGTAGTGTCACAATTGATGGGACTCGTGAAATAATACTCATGAATCATTTTCTATTTTTCAAAGTGCTCGATATTTTGCATAAAGGTTTAAGAATAGGAAACAAAAATGAAAAATTTGAAATAACTCTGCAAATGTTGTCCATGAGTGCGCCTGACAAAAGTTATTTTAGAAACAGATAATGTGACCACTGAAATCGTTATAATACGTCCACATTATTACAATTTGTTTGATCGCGGTATTGCTTCTGTGTAACTGTCTGTCTCTAGGTTACCATCCACTCAGTAGCCAGTTATTTGGTTCGAGGATGATTTAAATGATACCTTTCAATATAAATCATCAGTATATAATTTTTTTAACTAATGCTGCAATTCTATACAAAAATGTCATTTCGATGTTTAGGCAGTTCTATGACTATTTTGTTAATAATTGTCGTCTCTATCGCACCTGCTAGATATAATGATCACAGAAACGTGTTCATGCACATTTTAATTGATATCATAAGTTTATGCTACTAGCACAGGGTCTTTGTGTTTATATTGATAATGTAATATTGCCAAAATGAGTTTGTACCTCCATTGCCATATATGGCCTTTTACAATTTTGACTGTTATGTGTAGGTGATTATTCCAATAAACTTTTTAAATATATGTCTTATCATTGCGTGGTCTGCAGCTTATCTCATGAAGGTTTTTCTCAAGAACACGTGTCTTGTGCACCGAAATTTGTTTCATGCAGTTCATGGTCATCTATTATCAAGGTCGTACAGTGTTCCTAAGTACGTTTGGTGTTCACATTTCCAATAGTTAAA